GTTCTAGAGCCTAAATGGTTTGAATCATCGCTACTGTGGTATTAGTATTAGTGTTTATGCTTATGTTCTGTGTGCTTTCAAGTGATTATTACAATTACAATGGATCCGCACAGTTTAAATCTAGCGTTTAATATTATCAGAAACTTGCAAGATGCTGAAGAACAAGCAGATGAACCCAACCGAGTTGTTTTAAACCGGAAAAATCCATTTCTGTTATCAGAAATAAAATTTATGAGATATTTTAGAGCTAATAAACTTTGCTTGCTCCACCAGGGACACTATTTATTGTTACTTATAGCAAGTTCCTGCCATTTTGCCTGTGCCTCTTTTTTTGTCAATTCTGCAAAATTGTCACTTAAAAGTTGAGGGTAGTTTTTTAAGAAGTCTAATAAAAAAAATTGTCTTGCAGTAAAGGACACTTTTCGTTCCAGTTTGACTAGTAATAACTAATACAAAAAAAACTCTTTGAATTTGCAACAAAAACCTACTACATCTAGGTTATTAATCACATTTCAAATGTGACATTAGTCAACTTAAGTTACGCGGGAAATTTAAATTACTTTAATTTGATTGGGCAAATAAATATGGCAACATGCTTCTCACGGTAACCCGTCGAGAATACGACTTTGGCATACCGAGAGAAAATTTCGGGGATGTGAATGTTCGTTCTATTACAGGGAGAGCTCTCCGGCGGATATTTTCTCTCGCAGTCAAGAATAGGGGTCCTGGTCGGAAAAATCTGAAATTTTGGATTTTTGATCCTATTTATGGGTAGAATAACTGTACCAAAAATTATCAAAATCGGAGAGGTGACCTGCCAAACCATTGGTTGATTTGATATGAAGTCAGCGCCGTAGCTACAATGGTTCCGTGGGTTCGGTGGAACCAGGCCCGCTAGCTCAAGGGGCCCGCGGCCAGCGATTGGAATAATTTTTTTTTCTTCAAATATTTGGATTAATTTTTTTAAATATATTTCAACATTCACAGGGCATTTATTTATAATAATGGCTTAAGGCTTAGTAAATAGTAAAAGACCACCAATAATAATAATAATAATAATAATAATTTTTGCTTGAATCATGTAAAAGCGAGTCAAAATTAAAACTTAAAAAACTATCAACAACCCGTTGGTCTTCACGCAATGATGCAATAAAGCCCTACGTTTTAAGTATCTTGATGTTCTTAAGGCCTTGTCAAAAATTATTTTAACATCTAATAATAAGACTGAAATAGACGACTCGAAGGATTTAAAAGTACATTGGAGGACTTTGAAAGTGTTTTTGATTATTTTACAATCTAACGTTTTAAATCGCATAGACACAGTATCAAAACTCTTACAAAATCAGCAGCAAGATATCCAAAAATCTAGTAAACTTTTAAAAAATGTGTTAAATCACATAAGCAAACTTCGGAATAAATTTTTAGATATAAAAAAGAGGCCAATATTAAATCAAGCAAATGGGGTATAATTCCAGAATTTTTCCAAAAACGTATTCGCAAACGTTTTTTTGATGAAGTTGCAAATGACTTTGTTTTTTAAACTGCTGAAGATACTTTTAGAGATGAAGTTTTTTTTAAGACCCTAGATATTATATCAGACAGTTACAAAGTAAAACAATTAGTTTACATCAAATAGCCACTAACTTCAGTATATTGGAAACAGAAGTTCTGTTAAATTCTACTGATACAGAAGTATACCAAATGGCGGAAAACATTCGTGGAATATATGATTAGGGTGTCCCAAAAAAAAAGAATATTTTTTTTCTTCTCGTCTCTTGTGAAATTATGTTGGTTTGTCATGTTTGAAGAGCCCTGTCAAAAGATCAGCACCATTAAAAAAAATTTAGGGGTCGCTCAAGATTTTTAAAAATTACCAAAATCGTCAAAAATTGGATTTTTTTTTATTTTAATTTTTTTTCTCTTTCCGATATTATTTTTTAATTTAAAAATAATAATGATTCTGAAAATTTCAAATCGATATTTTAATTTCTAAAGGTCGCTCAAGATTTTTTAAACTTTCAAAGTAGGGTATTTTGAATGTTTTCGAGCGACCTCTGAATATACAGGGTGAGTCATAAGTGGTGAACTTCCCGAAAGGTGCATGTTGGGGGGCCTTAATATAGGTAGGGAAAAATGTTAAAAAAATTCCAAATGAAAAAGTGACCGAGGAATTCAGGTCTTAAGTTTTAAATTTAACTTTTTTATTATTTAATATTTTTCCACCTTATATGATTTTTACTGAAGAGTTTAGGGTTCTTAAATATTTCCTAGCAAAAAAATTGCCCGAAAAAGTGTATTTTCTTTTAATTTTAATGTTTTAGAATGATTTTTTAACAATTGAAATGATCTGGCAACTTTGTAATCAACAATACGAAAATTGACATTGACGTTTATATTTTTTGGTGTTTTCTGGTTATTATTTTGTCGAGTCTATTTGTAATCAACAATGCCAAAATTAAGTTTGACGTTTATATTTTATTTTTTTGGTTATTATTTTGTCTAGTCTATTTAATAAAATGTACACCAATCAAGAATATGTGAATATGATGCTGGTACTTGGATTCTGTGAAGAAAATTGCAATGAAGCAGCCCGGGTATACGCAGCAAGATTCGCTGACATAACCCACCCATCGCCGGGAGTTTTTAGAAGGATGATGGGCAGAGCTAGAGAGACTGGATCTCTAATTCCAACGGCAGGTCCTGACCTTGGTCGGCCTCTAGAGATTGTACCCGAAGCCGATGAGTTAATCATCCAGCTGATTCAAGAAGATCCAACAAGAAGTACCAGAGAGATTGCTCAGGAGCTAGGCATGTCCCAGACATCTAAAACCAGGCGATTAAAGGAGAAGTTCCATCCATACCACTACACTAAAGTTCAGGCTCTTAACAACAACGATTTCTGTTTGCGTTTAAATTTTTGTATTTTGGTTATTGGGAAAAATTAATGAGGATGATGATTTTTTAACTCGTATTTTATGGCAAATTTTAGTAGGGATGGGTGTTTTAATAGTAGAAACTGCCATTATTATAACCAAGAAAATCCACATAGAAAATGGGAATTTAATCATCAAACTAGTACAAGAAGAAGACTGGAATTGTGTTTGGAAAATCAGGGGCATCAATTCGAGCAATTTTTGTAATGTTTGTTCATGCTTCTTTATGTTATTTTTTTCATAAATTTTTATTTTGTTTGATTTTGGTTTTAATTATTATTATTTAAGTATTATAATCACAACAACTGTCTTATTGCTGTCTTTTATTATGACAGTAATGACAACAATATAAGCACGTAACAATTCAAATAAGTTCCTTAGTTACTTCAATTAAAATGAAATCTAATAATTGCCTGTAACATTGTTAGTGTTTACACGTTGCCAAAATTCTCTTTTGAGTTCTTGGCCATAACTCGAGTACCAAAGCAGATAGATTTTTTTAAACATTTTTCCCTACATATATTAAGGCCCTCCTACATGCACCTTTCGGGAAGTTCACCACTTATGACTCACCCTGTATATATCAACGAACTTTTAGCGACCTTTAGAAATCAAAATATTGATTTGAAATTTACAAAATTTTTATTATTTTCAACCTAAAAAATAATATCGAGACGAGAAAAAGAATTAAAATAAAACAAAAATTCAATTTTTGACCATTTTGAAAATTTTTAAAAATCTTGAGCGACCCCTACAAAATTTTTAATCGAGCTGATATTTTGAAAGGGCTCTCACAGCATGATAAACTAACATATTTTTACAAGAGACAAGAAAAAAATATATATTCTTTTTTTTTTGGGACACCCTAATGAAGATGATATTTTAGATTTCCCTATCAATTAATAGCTTTACAAAAATGTTTTTCTGGCGAACTAAAAAATAGTAAAGAATTTGCTAAACACTATGTTTTCTATACCTTACAATTCCTGTGACGGTTGCATCGGCAGAACGATCGTTCTCAAAACTTAAGTTAATAAAAACGTATTTAAGGAACTCCATGAGTCAATATCGATTATCGTCTTTGGCAATGATCTTCTTTAAAAATACAGTTGCCCGCTCCATAGATTTTCAAGGAATTATTACCAAATGTTCCGCTGCTAAATCTAGGAAAGTAGCTTTTTAATGGACACACTTTTATTTTTTATGCCCTTATATTTTGTTTATAATATATTATTATAAATAGTTTTAATAGTTTTATTAGTTTTGGTTTATTTTTCCTGTGTATATATATATTTTATATACTAAAAGTTTATAGACAATATATAGTCTTTTATTTTTTCTACACTATTAAAGCCGTAGATTTAAGGGGGTATAAAGGTTGTTATGTTCCTCCCAAATATAACATAAAAAATATTAATTAGTACAAAATAAAAAAAACACCTAGAGGCCCGTGGGTATAGCCTGGAACCCGGGCCCGTTGGGTTGTTGCTACGGCGCTGTATGAAGTGACCCTAATATTTCAGGGTGATTTATCATTTCTTATAAGAAAAAGTTCTTATAAGCATACCTGTTGCCTCAATGACTTACATTTTTTGCTACAAAGTTTAAAAAAAATGTATAGTGTTCCTTTTAATATCTCCAAAAGTACTAGATATTATTTCTAATTCTGGTTTGTATTGGGTTATAGGATATTAACTACATCCGTAATTAAAAATGTTATTCTATTGCTTCACCAAAACAAACAATTATTTTTTTAAGAAAAAATATCACAATAATTATTAGTTATTCTAGTGTTAAAACTTAGCGGGTTGTAAAATTGTTGCGTTAAAATTTATGTTAAAATCCCATTATTCTCCATTTTATCTAAATATCTCTTAATTATAAGTTATATATAATAACATCATTTACTAATAAAGTCCCTATTAAAATAACTGCCTATTAACACATTTAAACAGGACTACATACAAAATGAGGCCGATTGCAAAAGGTTTGGATAAAAATGTAGCTGAAATTCTGCATAAATAATTCGACATATAAAAATTTAAGTTAAATAAATAAAGTACTTACTTTGGAATGCAAAATGGAGTCCAAATCTTTCACTAAAGCCTTTATTTCACCAAAATAATTATCTTGTCGATCTCTACCATTGTAAGATTTTTGGCACAACATACATATGTTATCTGCACCTTTCCTTATACATTTATGACAGAATATATGATTACAAAGCTTCAATCTTACAGAATTATCCGAGTTTTCTTTGCTAAAATTGTTTTTAATTAACGAATGTTAAATAAATAAATTTAAACATGTTTACCAAACACAACATTTTAATTTCGACAAAACCACCGAAAGACCATCGTAAAATTCCTCAAACTCTTTGGATTTTATGTTTAACTGTGGTTTATTCAGTATTTCCATTGGAAACGTTAATAACCCTCCTTAAACTTCTTCAAAATAGGCAAAATACCGCACACTAGAGACAAAGAACTTTGGTTTACCGCGTAATTGTTTGATTTTGAGGTTATGTCGGTAATGCAGATTTTTAATTTAATAGAAATATACAGGGAGGCTCAACACAACTTGTCTAAAGTGAATTATTATAAAGCTCGACCTCAGTGCAAAATATTTGGATGATACCTATTCGAGTCTCATACATTATTTTTTCTTATATCATAATAATTTCATAAAAATGTGAAGAAAAAATGTTGACATTTACAATTATTTTATTTTCACATGTAGGTAGGTACAGTTGTATTCATTTAAAAAGCGTACAAGAATTAGAATGAGAGGAACCTGTCAACATTATTGCGTAAAACCGGCTTTCCACTGACTTAAGTCACTATAACTGACAGTAGAAAATAAAAATGCCTCGTCAGTTAAAAAGGCTCAAATAGTATCAAGAATCGAAGAAGAATGGTCAATTCGTACCGTGGTATAATAGAAATAAAAAATCTATATTAAAAATTATGCAACGCTGGGAACAGGAAGATTTACTAAACCAAAAAGTTGGTTCAGGTCGTCCCAAAATGTTCACCCCTGAACAGGATGCTGCTTTTTTGGGATATCTGAGGATTTATGGGAAACTATAGTTTATGGGAACTGTATATATACAACTATACTATACCTACTATACTGCTGGGACTCCCAGCCTGGGAGGATATTAATCCAAATATTTTATTAAATTTAATTCAGTTTATCCCAAATAGATTGGCTCAAGTAATAAAAAAACACGGATGCATGACTAAATATTAAATTTTTTTAATCTTTGTTTTTTTTTCATTTCTAAAAGGTAATAATTTTTGTAATATTATTTAATTAACTTACGACGTCAATGCTCTTTATAACCTATAGTAATTATTTTAATGACTTATGTCAGTGATAAGCCGGTTTTAAGCAATAATATTATTTTGACAGTTTTCTCTCATTCTAATTCTTGTACGCTTTTTTATTGAATACAACTGTATGTCAAAACTTTTTAAAATTTATTTACCTTCTAGGAATAAATTGTAATATGAATAACAATAAAAATTAAATAAATGGTCATATAATTATAACTTAATTAAGTCATTTAAGAGTCGTTTTTTCACCTTACGTAAAACTCTGACGTAATGAATATGACATAAATATGACGTAACCATCTTGACATCACACTGACGTAATAAATATGACAGCATAACGAAGCCCCCTCCCTTATTTTTCATTACGGATCAAAATAGGTGAATAGTAAAACCTTAGTCAATGGTAAAACAGTTCACTATCAATCCAAATAAGTAAATAGTGGGCACCGTTGCCGGACTACGATTGGTGCTGATTGGAACCCAGCTGACATGGTCACGTCATATAAACGTCGATTATAGGTAATTATTAGTAAATGACGTCGACGACCCAGCTATAGCACAGAAACATCCCAACAATGTACAGCGATGTAAAATTGGGTACATTAAACCTTCCGTGCAATGTACTGTTGATATCGCATGTCTATTGAGGCAACCTCCGAAATTCCGCAACATGTTTACACTGGACAATGTTTTCGAGATGTTACTTTGTTACGTACTGAAAACGTTAGTTTGAAACATCAATTAAAGTAACTTTAAAACATGCATGCTATGTTTAGATGTAATGTTCCATGAATGTAACTTATTGATATAAAAAGGCTATAGCAAAAGATACAGGCATCCGGCAAATCATTTGATGTTTTATACTTCTTTTTTGAGTATTTGTTTTATAAAATGTAGAAAAAAATAAATTTTTAGATAAGTTTTGTTACATTATAAAATTTGTTTATAATGTAACAAAACATATCTAAAAATTTAAGTTTTTCTACATTTTATAAAACAAATACTAAAAAAAGAAGTATAAAAATATCAAATGATTTGCCGGATGCCTGTATTAATGCATAAAAAAAACAAAAACACAAAGTAATTTCCTTAATATGTAAGTTCTAAGAGAAATTAAAAAAAACTACTTATAATAAATTAATATATTCAGGTAAAAAAAATTGTATATACAAATAAATTCACGTTTTCCAATCATGTTGAGAACATTGCTTCTGGATCTATGAAAAGCTTGGGATTTATAATTCGCAATACTGGGGGTTTTAGAGATATTAGAACATATGTTCATATTTCAGTCTCTTTATTACGAATTTGTTGTATCTAAGCTGGAATACTGCTGTATTAAAAAATTAATTGTTTGGAGTCCGCAATACAAAATTTATAAGGATAGGCTTGAAAATTGTTTCATTTAGACTTGACGGTATCTACCTATGCCGCTAGAGGAACAAACCACTTGCAGCTTCTTAATAGATTTTCTTTATATCCTTTGGAGCTAAAAAGAATAATAATGCATTTGAAGTTTTTTGTATGGACTGTTGCATAACCAGATTGATTCTATATAGCACTGCTTGAATTGGTGAATGTGCGTGTTCCATTTTTTCAAAGCCGTAGTCAATAAACTTTTACATATAAAACACCTAGAATAAATGCCATGTATAGTTCACCTGTTCAGAGAATTTGCAGATACATTAATATTTACTGTAGCTCATGTGATATTTTTACCAGACTTTTAATAGTATAGTTATAACTATAGTGCTGCATCTAGCAATTATAATTATAAATTAATTTACTTTAATTTTAATATTATCCATAATATATTATACTTAACAAATTTCTTTTCTATATGTATATATTTTGTCCTGTAATTGGAACATGTTCTGTTGGGCAATAAATAAATAAATAATAATAAAAACAACAAATTTAGATACAAAATTTATATTCCCATTTATGGGTTTTAGTGGCAAGAGGTTTACTAATAAATAATAAAGCTTATCAAAAAGAAAGGTCTGTCTAATCTGTAAGCATGGCAAAAGCGTCTGGGAGGTGAAAAACTGAACATTATTTTTCAGTTTTTTACCTGCCAGGCGCATTTGCCATGCATACAGACTGACTTTTTTTAATAAACTTTAGTACCTACACCTTAAAATCCACAAATTGTGTATTGTGGTACACCCCTTGCCACTAAAACCATTTTTATCAGTGAAGAAAAACCCATCGGAAAACCCACTTAATTTCATATATACAGGATGTCCCAAAATCACCGATACAAAAACAAAAGAATAAGTAAAAAAGATCACAGACACAGTAAACTACTTACAGAACAAACCACGCTAGCATAGAAAAAGAAGTGTTCTTTGGTGGGAAATAGAACATGAGATAACCCACAATGTGGACTGTGAGATAACCTAAAATGAGTGGCTTCCAACTTGATAAATGCAAAAATTGACATAACATTGATAGTTTTTATTATCACCATCAATAATACTAGATATTAATAAATGAAATTTCGATTGTTTTAAAGTTTTTTCACTAATAATATTTAAATAAATTATAATTTCACTCTATTTAAGCATTTTATTTTATTTATTTATTTTTATATTGTTGGTACCGTTAATCATATGACAATTAATATACTTAAAATTACCTTTAGTTACATTCTTGGTACATTTACATTAGATGTTTGTTGCAAGTACTTATGTCATGTTATAGGTATGTAACAATACATCGATGTGCAATATTAAAAAATAATATATCGGCAATATACCTGGTATGTTTTCAACGAGATGTATTTATGCGACCTAAACAGAACATCGCACGAGCTCGCGTTATGTATCGTGCTAGCTGGGGACCTTACATCGACTTCTCTACGTCGCGACGTCACAACCGGTTGGGCCCAGACCAACCATATAGTATATATATGGCATATACGTCATTTTGCCAACGTCGACATTACGTCCACCTAAAGTGATACCGTTGTGTGAAGTTAAACAATGGTTGTACGGTAAAATAAAGTTTATTTTGCGTTGATTTAGTGTTTAACTATAAATTTCAACGAAAGTTTTTAATTTAACGTTAATTTTAAGTTGTAGCAGTTAGTTTTAACGCTCAGTCGACGCAAAATATTTTTGTTGGATTGAACCAAAACATCCCAAGCAACAATTTAAGTATTTGTTACGTATATGGGACTATATAATATAATATTGAAGAAACTTTAAAGTGTTTTGCGACAGTCGCCGGTCTCTTTATATCATTCTTTCATTACTAAGTTACGTCTAAAGTGGGGAACAATTATTGAGTTCCAAAAAGGTAGCAAATATGTCACTAGCTATAAACCCTGCTACTATAGTAGCAGGGTATACCCAGCAAACAGAGCTGTATAACCAACTCGTGTTATTCACGTCGCATTTTGGTTGTTATTTAACGAGTTTTGAAGTAACGGAATATTGACGTGAAATAAACGTTTAAAAAAAACGTTTTAACAAAAAAATTTTACATTTGTTAAAAATTTTACATAAACATAAAAAAACTTCACATACAGTTCTTTCAGTCGAAATCAAGAAGGTACTTACCACAGGAATTCTAAGAAGTTTTAAAAATACGTTTGATACACGTAAAATTTAGACGAAATATGTACTTAACTACCCAGCAAACAGAAAATGACAAACGACGTTTAAGAAGTAAAAATTAATGTCAAAATAAAACGTAAAAATGACGTATATTTCTCGCCATTATCTGACCACTTATTTTATACCAGAATCAGACGAATATGCAACGTCATCAAAATGTTTCAAAATTCGCCAATATGTAGGCAACCCATGCATACCTCTCGCCTCTGTACACTCAAAAAAATTCTTGTAAATTTACAACACATTTACTAGTTTAAACATGTACACTTTACAAATATTATAATGTGAAAATTAAATCACAAGTTAATTTATGAAAATATACACAGTTTTTTGTAAAATTCATAATTTTTGTGAATTTACAATGGAATATTAAGTTTTGTTATGTAAAAATACATTTCATTTTGTTATATTTACATTATTATTGTTTTAAATACATATCAATTTGTAATATTTGCAT